AGGGGCTGACACTCGAAACATTTTTCACAGTCTAGTCATATCTCCAGAAATACATAAATATTGCTTTCAAGACCAATGCATTCTTCAAAATCTGCATATAAGAGTCCGCTTACTTGATTTCCTTTTATTGGTGTGCCTCGGCTGTCTAGCGCACGAAGCGTAACCGCGCATAGATCAAACGTCATCGGTTCGTACACTTCATTCGCAGCCTGCAAGCTACAGTGCGCCCGCTTCTTCCTGGCAGTCCGGAGCTTGCTCACTTTGCTAAAAGCAAGAAGAAAATAAATTGAATAAATTAACAGTCTTGTTCGGCAATGCTATTTGTTCTCAAACTGGCAATGTTCTGCAGAGAAATGGGCCACATTCCCAATAAAACCAGGAAATAGGCATCAACTCGTGACATAGCCTCCATTATCACGTAGCTCAAAAAATAAAGCTCAGATTAGTTGGCATAATGTTGAGAAAATTAGACTTCTCTAAGAGGAACCCTTACGACCACCCCCTATATAGATCATTCGCCTGACGACCATTTAAGAATCTGAAAATATGTATTGGAACATACAAGCAAATGGCAATTATCTCAGAGCCATTAGTTCTTCCGAGTTCCTCAAAGGCAATGGTCCATGGAGACGCATCTCGACCGGTGAGGACACCGACTCCAACGACGTCCAGTCCATGGAGTTAACGGAACCACTGCCATAACTGCCAATGCTACTAAGGAGTATGAGGTACATATCCGTAGAAGCCTCCTGGTTCAGCAGTATTGGTACTGCTAAGGAATTGTTATTATTCACACCGCACACGAGGGATGCAGGCGGAGGTACCAGGGACGGATAGCGGTAGGAGTCCGAAGAACAGGGAATACGCAGAGTATCCTCAGGAGAACATCTCCACAGCTGCATTGCTGACGGCGACTTTGTTGAGGCATTGGAGGCGAGGGAGGCGGGTGGAGGGAACAGGTGGCGGCAAGAGTAAGTGTAAGCTGTGGAGTCGCTCTTCGCCTGCTATCTGTGACGACTTCGAATAGGGGAGGATTTCGAAACAGGATGCATTATATGAGAGGAAGTTGGCTGGCGTGATTCCCCTGTCCCATCTCCTTTCGACTCTTCCGTAGGTTGACTGCCTGTAATCCAAGTAAATGTGTACACTGACACGTTGTTCACAATGTCAGTAAAATACTGTGATGTATGAATGCTCATCAGAACTGTTAATACCCCGTCAGTGTAGGATTAATAGGCGCCGCATCCTCCTGCTTTATAAACTATATAATTTGTCCACATCGACCTGACCTCATCGTGGA